CACCTGCGCCCCCCCCCTCCTCCGTGCCTCCCCTGAGTGTCCCCCGACCCCAACTTGCTCCCACCCCCTCTTCCCGGCCCCAGAGCAGAGCAGCTCCATGCTGCCTCTCTGCAACAACTGCTGCCACAGGGTCCTAGTGCCCCCCGCTCCATTTCCAGGGCAGCCTGACTCTGAGCCTGCCCTTCCCCCTCAGACCCTTCCCTTTTCCGGCAGGACCCTCCAGCAGCACAGGGCTCCCCCACCCGCAGTCACCGCTCCTGCCCCATGCTGGGCAAGGAGGCAGCCCCATCCCTCACCCCCAATGAGGCTACAGTCAGGGGCAACAGCAGGGGAGGAGGCGCACACAGCGCCCCCCGGCACCCACCATGGGGGAGGCGAGGGAGATTCCTGGACGTGAGAGGGGCCCTAGGAGCACATGCAGTGACAGTGGTGGGGGTGAGTGTGCTGCTGGGGGGGGGACTCCTCTCCCAGAACTTGCTGCTGCCGGCAGGGAAAAGTCTGGGGGGAGTCCTCCTCTCTAGCCCCTGTCCCAGAGCTGCCTGCCTGCACCCCAAACTAATCCCCAGCCCTGCCCTGCCCCACCCCAGAGCCCACACCCCCAGTCAGAGCTTTCACCCCCCACCGCACCCTCAACTCTCTGCCCAAGCCCTGAGCCTCTCCAGCACCCCAAACACCTTATCCCCAGTCCCAGCCAGAGCCATCATCCCCACCACACCCCAACCCTCTGCCCCAGCCCTGAGCCTCTCCCACACCCCAAACCTCCCATTCCTAGCCCCAGACAGAGCCCTCACCCCCACACTCCTACTCTCGCCCTGAGCCCCTCCCACACCCCAAACCTCCCATTCCCAGCCCCAGACAGAGCCCTCACCCCCACACTCCAACTCTCGCCCTGAGCCCCTCCCACACCCCAAACCTCCCATTCCCAGACCAAGACAGAACCCTTACCCCTACTCTCGCCCTGAGCCCTTCCCACACTCCAAACCCCTCATCTGCAGCCACAACCCACTGCCCTCACCCCTGCACCCCTCCCATCCCCAAACTCCCTCCCAGAACCTGCACCTCCTCCCTCCGCACCCCCTCCCATCCCCAAACTCCCTCCCAGACCCTGCACCCCAATCTTCTGCCCCAGCCTAGGGCCTGCACCCCAGACCTCCTCCCTCACCCAAACTCCCTCCGAGAACCTTGGGCAAGTGGAGGGGCAGAGTTTGGGTGGGGGCGGGTTCTGGGCACCACCAAAATTTCTACAAACCTGCCACCCCTGATCCTGCCCTGCAAACCTGAACTCCCAGCATTCTCAGGACACATGCTGATCCCTAGTGGCCACTGCTGATATCCAGCACCTCCCTCTTCTCTTAACCTGTGAGTCCCTCTCTGGATTGGAACTGGACTGGAAACAAAGACCATCTTGGAAGCAACATTACCAGCCCAAGCAGTAAAAATCATGAGTTAGACGCCCCAAAATCACAGGCTCTACCGCCGCCATTTCATTTATTCTTCAGCAGCAATTCGGAGGCAGGCCCTTCCCTCCAAGAGGGACTGAGGGACCCGCGGCCGAAGAGCCGGCCCTGGGGGAGGGCGCAATTTTATATTCTTGCCTCGGGCGCAAAAATACCTAGCAACACGAGGAGAAGAGGAAATAAGCACAACCTACTGTAAATGAATCAAGTACAAATGGTTCTGAGAATGCTCGGCATGAATGAGCAGGACCACAAGCGAGGAAGGTTGGGCCCAAATAGTCATTAAAGAGAGAGCAACAGAGAGTCCTGTGGCACCTTTAAGACTAACAGA